TCTTTTTGCTTCTAAACACACTGCCTCTGATCCAAAAGGATTGGTCTGTAGGGGCAGCACAAGTTTGCCCTCCACACCCATCCCACCTCAAAGAAAACAAGTGTTAATGATGGGTCACTTTACTTTAGGACCAAGAATGTTATCGAGGACAGAGTGTTCAGATTTTTGTTACCCTTGTAGCAGAATGCCCTTCGGAGATGAAATTTATCATAGCACAGCTCAGATCAGTCAGTGCTTCAACTATCGACATGCTCCCAGTGGTGTATCAGGGGTGGGAGGTGCCAGTGGTCCACCCTAGTCAACAATAAATGCTCTTCTTGGAAAACTGTTCTGTTGCTCTGAGCTTAAAACAATTGCTATGGAGAGGGTTGAGTTTTAATAATACGTATAAATTTCAAATCATTACATTTGTATTTCTTATCCTTTGATAGTTTATATTCTACCCGGAAGTTAATTCAGAGAACTCCAATGATACGGTCCATTCAGGCTTGCTTGTTTTGGCTATAATTTATGTCTCTATTCCTGTGGTATTACATATGGCTGTCCTTAAATGGTAGATTCTAGGAGCCCCTGAGTGGCTCAGTCAGTTGAGCGTCCGACTTCAGCTCAGGTCATGATCTCCTGGTTCGTGAGTTCAAGTCCCTTGTCAGGCTTGCTGCTGTCAGCCTGCTTGAGCCTGCTCTGTCCCCCTCTCTCTGTCCCTCCACTGCTTGCACTTTCCCAAAAATAAATATTTTTTTAAAAAAACCCAGTAGATTCTAAATAATAATAGCACCGTGTTTGTAAACCGAGGAAATAGAACTGGAGATAGTTCAATTACGTAGTTCATTCTAAAGCAATGGATTACATCATGTCAATGTTCTCTATCATTCAGCCAAGTTCTGATTTTTGCAGAAGATGAAAAAAACCTCAGAAGTTTTTACAGTATATATAACAGAAATTTATGATAAATTGTTTCCTGAAAATATTTTAGTGAGAATTTTTTTACTCTTCTAAAATTGATCCTGAAGGAACAAAAAATGGACAGTACTGAAATTCCTGAAACTTTTTATAAAATCAGATTATTGAGGAATTTCTGATAAATATATTCTCATTTTAAAACCGTTTCCTAACTATTTTAAATATTCATTACTTCATAGGAAAAAATACTTCAAATTTCAAATGAATAAATATGTTCATTAAACTGTGATTAAAGATGATTTAATATATCTGACTATACTGAACACGAATATGTAAAGATCTATTTTTTTTATTTTATTTAAATCCAAGTTAGTTAACATGTAGTGTAATAATGGTTTCAGGAGTAGAATTTAGTGATTCGTCACTTACATATAACACCCAGTGCTCATCCCAACAAGTGCCCTCCTTAATGCCCACCACCCATTTATCCCATCCCCTTCCATCCAATACCCCTCAAGCAATCCTCAGTTTGTTCCCTGTATTTTAGAGTCTCTTATGGTGTGCCCCCCTCTCTGTTTTTATCTTATTTTTCCTTCCCTTCCCCTATGTTCATCCATTTTGTTTCTTAAATTCCACATATGAGTGAAATCATATTTATCTTTTTCTGACTGACTTATTTTGCTTATCATAATACATTCTTGTTCCATCCACGTTGTCGCAAATGGCAAGATTTCATTCTTTTTGACTGCTGAGTAATATTCCATTATATATATGATGCATCTTTGCATCTGCAAAGATCTATTTTAACAAGGTCACTGGCAAATTTGCAGAAGGTGGCTTGAAAACATGCAGAAACTGTAATACTATTGCTTACCGCTATAACAAATAAGTTTTTCTTTTTTCAAAAAAACATGTTAACACAATAATCTACAGGTTTTTTTCCTTTTCGACTATAATATTCACTTCATTCTTTAAGTTTTTAATGTTTTTTTATTGTCAGGACTATATATACCAACTTCAATTTTGAAAATGTCAACATACATATTTCTTTTCTGGCTCTTATTATTTTTTGTTTCATTTCATAATTGCTGAAAATACTTCTGTCATAGAGGAAGATTATTAAACAATGATTCTCTCTGAGTGTCAAGTATGATAGGTACTACCCCACCTATTTGAGCTCTGAATGTGGGAGTGAAGGCTCACACCCAGAGAGACTGCCACTCTGTAGTTGGATCCTGTGTATTTCTATGCTTCCAAGATTCTGCTGCAAAATTCCTGGTCATGCTGATACAAGCACCCTGGGATGTGAACACCCAAGAAAATTTGGAGCCTAGAGGGTCACCATACATCCAATGCAGATGGGGGTCAGGGTCCAGTTTTGATTGAGCCTATTACCTGAAGGACACATGTATGTTATTGCATCGGGATCTTTGGCACTGGGACCACAGAAGCCCTTCCTTTATACATATGTAAGGATTAAAAGCCTTGGCTTTGGTGAAGGTGGGATCTCCTTGGATTCACTCTATTCAGTGCACAAATGTATTTGGCTGGTCTCCTGGAAGTTGTAGTAGTCCAATAGCTTATGTCTTAATTGGAACCCAAAACTTCCTTTGGTTAGGTGGAACCCCCCCCCCACCTTGGGACAGAGGACAGCAGCTCTGCTTTAAGCCTTAAGAAAAAAATCCTTCCCTTTCTCTACCTTTTGTTTCCTTTTCCTCACATCTGTCATTTTGGATTAGCTAGAGGATGGTGAGGGGGCACTTTAGCCCCCTCATAATTTAGGGAGATTATGCCCCTGACACACATCAGATCATCTAGAGATAGACATGCATGTGAAGTTTGACAAGTTTCCCTGCTTGAGAACAATTTATTTAAAGTATAGGTTTTTAGGGGCACCTGGGTGGCTCAGGCAGTTAAGGGTCCAACTCTTGATTTCGGCTCAGATCATGATCTCACAGTTTGTGGATTCGAGCCCCAAGTCAGGCTTCACTCTGACAGTGCAGAGCCTGCTTGGGATTCTCTCTCTCTCTCTCTCTCTCTCTCTCTCTCCCTCTCTCTCTGCCCCTACGCCACTTGCATGCATGTGCACTCTCTCTCTCAAAATAAATAAACTTAAAAAAAATAAAGCATTGGTTTTTAAACTACACTATTGGTTCCATTAGTGGAACATGAAATTAAATTTTCTTTTTGGTATAAGTAGCAATCAAAAAATAGAACTGGATGGAATTTTTATAATTTTTTAAGAATTAGATAGAATTATTTTTTATTTTTTATTAAAAATTTTTTAATGTTTATTTATTTTTGAGAGAGAGACAGAGTGCAAGTGGGGGAGGGGAAGAGAGAGCCAGAGACACAGAATCCAAAGCAGGCTCCAGGATCACAGCTGTCAGCACAGAGCCCAATGTGGGGCACACACTCACATGAGATCATGACCTGAGCTGAAGTCGAACACTTAACCGACTGAGCCACCCAGGTGTCTTTGGATAGAATTTTTAAAAACTCAGAGGGCCTTACTCATCATATGAAAAATGTTTTTTGTTTGTTTTGTTTTTTTAGAGAAAGAGAGAGAGAGTGTGCGACCACAAAACCAGGAAGGGAGAGACAAAGGGAGAGTGAGAGAGAGAATCTTAAGCAGGCTCCGTGCTCAGCCCAGAATCCAATGTGGGGATTTCACAGCTATGAGATCATAACCTGAACCAAAACCAGAGCTGGGCACTTAAACAACTAGGCCACGCAGGCATCCCTAGAAATATTATTTTTGAAATTTGGGGAGACTTCTCCTTCAGGGGGTTGTGTATATGTGTCTCTGTTGGGCAGCGATGTAAAATATATTTCTAACTTGGGAACATGGTCAAAAATGTCTGCAAGTCATTGACATGGAAGGCCAACACTAGATGGTAAGCTCAGGGAATGTCTGAGAAAATCTCTCTCCTGCTCTTTGAAGGCCCCAAGCTTTTACCTGCCTTCTCAAAGGACACCTTGTAGTTCCTCAGGGTTCCAACCAGGTTTCCAAAGCCCTATCCTGACCTCTCCTTCAGAAACCTAAGAGGATCAAAGGAGGTGGAGGAACATTCTTGGTCACACCCAACACTGACAAAATTCTGCACTTGTTTTAAAACCATTGATGAGGATTTGTCCGTTATACTATTTCCTGTTCCTTATTAACTGTCCAACATGAAGAATTTCTTTATGAAATTAGAAAAAAGTTGGGGGGGGGGGGGAGCGCCTGAGTGGCTTAGTCGATTGAGTGTGAGTTCAAACCCCACATCAGGCTTTTTGCTGACAGTGTGGAGCCTGCTTCAGATTCTGTCTCTTTGTCCCTCCCCCACTTAACTGCACTTGTTCTCTCTCTCTCTCTCTCTCTCAAAAATAAACATTAAAAAAAAATTTTTTTTTATTAAAAAAAAATTTTTTTTTTATTAAAAAAAATTTTTTTTCCAACGTTTATTTATTTTTGGGACAGAGAGAGACAGAGCATGAACGGGGGAGGGGCAGAGAGAGAGGGAGACACAGAATCGGAAACAGGCTCCAGGCTCCGAGCCATCAGCCCAGAGCCTGACGCGGGGCTCAAACTCACGGACCGCGAGATCGTGACCTGGCTGAAGTCGGACGCTTAACCGACTGCGCCACCCAGGCGCCCCAAAAAAAAATTTTTTTAAAGAAATTAGATGAAGGAAAACCCTCTTCTCTGTAAGTTGGTAGGTGTCCTCCCTTTGACCCTGAGTGCTGGAAAGCTCCAAAGCTTCTGGTGTGTTTGACCCTTGTCACTGTAATGTGGTTCAGCCTCCTCCATTCCTTAGTCCTGGCTTTCTTTCAAGTGTTTGCATTGTGTTTACTCCATTTTAATGACAGATGCCCAAATCCCTTCTGAAAACAGAAAGAATGTATGTGGAAAATATAAATGTCACTCCACTGGGCAGTGAGGGTTTCTATGGTTAGGACTGAGTCTTTTCTCCATATACTCCTTAATGCCTTTCTCACCAAGTTTGGTGAGTAAGGCATAACTTAATTCAATATTAAAGACATACAAAATGCAGGAAAAAGTGAGCCAAAAAAGAAAGAAAGCTTAATTTTAATGTAGGCTTTAAATGCCTACTTACCGCTAAATGATTATCTTCTCTTTTCGTTTCTTTTTTTAATTCACTCTCAAATCCATGCCATGTTGATGGCTACATACTCTGTCCACACCGATGCAAACTTCAAGAACTGTTCTTGCCTGGAAAAAAAAGGAAGAAAACATTGGAAAAGGAGAACCAGGACAGTCTAAGAATTAGAAGTTGACACATTGGGAAGTTGAATCATGAACACCGACCGTGGGCCAAAGAGGGATTAATAATATCCTTGTCCCTTTCCCTGACTGGTTTTTGTCCACAGCACAAATAACCTTCTAATATACTATATCATTTACTTATTTATTTTATTTTCCCCTTCCCCCTAAAATGTAAGCTCCATGAGACTAGGGATTTTTTTCCCACTGCTATATCCTCAGTACACTGCACATAGTAGCTCTCAGTTATCTCCAGAAACCACACTTAGCCAATATTCTATTCTACTTCTTGAAACAATCATTAGTTTCTGCCACTCTATCTTCCCCAGCCCCACCATAGCTAATCAGCTTACTTGAGTCTATCAGGCATGAACTTCTATCTAATATAGGGAAGGGCGGGGTAAGTTTTAAGGTTTAAGAATCCTAAATTGAGTACGACTTCTGTGTGTCTTCTAAACTCCAACAAATCCTCAAACGCTCGCAAGGGAAGGTGTGGTGTTCTTAGGACCTAATGTACTTAGTGACCAGGAGACCAGCTCAGGGTCTCCCTGCAGCCCTGTCTGCATATCAACAGCTACCAACACAAACACAGCTGTCAGGCTTAATGGGCTCTTTCTCCATTTCACCCACAAACAAACTGGAGAGATCAAAAAAATAACTTAAGTGTACCAGCATAAAAGCCACTCATTAAGCTAAGCTTCCAGTCTCCTTTCCTTTGTGTTTCATTGAAAAGAACAGGACACAGAGATAAATAAATGTTTTGGTTCATTTTAGAAATCCTGATCACTGAGAAGGCAACAGGACAGAGTTTAAAGTCTACCAGATTCTAAGTCAGGAGATCTAGATTCTAGTCATACTTTGGTTACTGCTGTAACTCTTGGTCAATCAAATTCTATCTGGGACTCAGGTTTCTGGTCTGCGAAATGTGGATGATAGCCTTCATAATCTCAGGTGGTGGCTATGAAGGTAAAAGCAAACAATGTTTTGTAGAAACAGGGAATCATATTAATATAAAATAATATCAAATGCTACCCTCCCCTGAAATTATATATATATATATATATATATATATATATATATATGATTCAAAAGGTTACAAGTATGTAGACAGGGCAGTAAAAAATGATAGGTGAATATCCAAGGGTATGTCCGTAGACAGCAAATTAATTTTCTACTTTCTGAGTTTGCCAAGTAGGGTATTTAACAACACTGCTAGATATATATTATTTTCCCATTTTAAAGATGATAAAGTGAGGTTTAGAAACCATCGATTCATTCAACATACATTTATGGAGCACCGCCAATTTAGGCGCTGAAAGTTAAGTTACTTTCCCAAGGCAACACTACAGCCAGGCAACAAAATCAGGATTCATACCTAGGTCTGTCTGAGTCTAAAACCCACTTTAATAAAAGTGATACAAAGTCTCTGGAAGCTGTAAGGAACCCTAGAGCTCATTCATTCCCAACCTTCTACTCCATGAAAGATTAAATTCCATGGAAGGGTCTTTGCATCATTAAAAACTAAGATAAGAGCATCAACAGGCTGCTTACCAGTATTCCCAGATGACATCACCAGCATATTGGACGACAAAGCAGAATCCAGTAATTCAGTTTAACAATTATTTACTGGTCACCAAGGATGAGCCATGTAACATGCCAGGTGTTTGTGGAGACACAAACATGAATAAGTATGTTCCTTCCCTGGAGAAGCTCAAAAGCTAATAGAGAAAACAGACGTGGGGAAGGACAAAGGCATTGAAGGACAGCTGGAGATCCCTCTTGACAAACTTGTTTCAGAGTATGAGAGACAAACAGCCCCTGGGTTTAACTCTGTGTGTTTCATTGTTGCTTTTCATGTGAGTGTGGAGGCTGGGAGGACACTGAGGTTTTACAGAGGTGAAGCAGGTAAATGCTGGGCACCCTGCAGGTAGGTTATGTGAAGTATGGGCGAAATTCAAGTTTCATTAAAAATAATCAATCTTGGGGCGCCTGGGTGGCGCAGTCGGTTAAGCGTCCGACTTCAGCCAGGTCACCATCTCGCGGTCCGTGAGTTCGAGCCCCGCGTCAGGCTCTGGGCTGATGGCTCAGAGCCTGGAGCCTGTTTCCGATTCTGTGTCTCCCTCTCTCTCTGCCCCTCCCCCGTTCATGCTCTGTCTCTCTCTGTCCCAAAAATAAATAAACGTTGAAAAAAAATTTTTAAAAAAAAATAATCAATCTTTGGCTGTACTAACTAAATGTAGTAACGTGTGATTAGTACTTCCCGATTCCCAAAACATTTCTTCAAAAAATTATCCCTTCCAAGCGAAAACATTATGATTTGCCAAAAAGCCCTGATAACTTTTCTTTCAGGAAATGAAGATGCAGAAATTCTGCTCTTTCTACTTTTCTTTGCCATACAAAATTAACCCTCATTAATCCATCCCCTCGGGCTCATCGGTATTAAGAGTTTTATGTTAAATTAGTTTCCATTGCGAGCGGGGGTGTCAGGGAAGAATATATACCCTCTTTTTTTTTAATACTCTGAAACATATTCTGAAACATATATGGCAGGCAAGCATCTCAGAAAAATGAGTCACATTTCCATCTGAAGATACAGGATTATCAGTAAACTTGATGAAATCGAAGTTCTCTTTCCCGGACATAATTGCCATACGGGAGCGTTCTCTCTCCCTGTTCTCCATCTTCATTAATATGCATGCAGCCGCGAGTGCTCTGCAGAGCAGGGAGGCACAGTGAATCTCTGAAGTTTAAAGTTTGTTAAAATGCACATAACTGTACATATTAAAAATCATAGCTTCTTCTGTCTCCTAGATGCATAGGGGAACTAGGTTTGAAATTAAAGATAAAAAAGGAAAGTGCAGAAAATTGTTCTGTTTCTCTCTCTGTCATATATTCATCAGCATAGAGCTGCACGACACATTCAATGAAATAAAATTAGTTTTTATAACTCAATGGGAGTTCTAGGAGAGCACCTGAACACAGTATTTGCAATGAACATTTGGAAAGACCTAGTCTCTCAGCCCCAAAGCAGTGATGCAGGTTCTATGAATATTAATGAAGAATAACCACACCAACAGGCAAATAGTTCTCTAATGTTCACATCCTCCTTTTTTTCTCCTCCAAAATGTTCCTTTCAATGCCTCTTGAACATCTCAAGCAAATGTCTCGTGCTTTGTGCCCTACACTTAGAATCATACTTGCAAGCTTAATTTCATATAGAAGGCTTTAGAACTGGAGTTGGCTCAGAAGCCACTCATTTTTCAATGGATACTTCCATACCCAGGCTGGAGTGACCTGATCCAGGCCTAGCAAGAATAGCTGGTGAAGATTTCACCTCAAAGTAAATGCCAGTGACCAGTGAGTGTCAAGGATGGATACGGGAGCAACATGTATCAGGGAAGACGTCACAATGAAAAGAAGGAATGAGCCCTCATGGGGTTTCTACACGGGGTCTGGTCATTTGCTGCATTGTCTCATTCAGTTTTTATAATTCTTTGAGGTGAACGTTATTATACTCTCTTTACAAATTCATTCATTCATTCAACAAATATTTTGCAAGCATCTATTACATACCATGCATTGTTTACAAGTAAGCTAGACTATAAGGTCCTCTCTCTTATGGAACTTCATTGGATGATATAAATTTGAAAAGCTTTAAACCTGCAGATAATTTATTCATAAATATTAATAAAAGGCTACCAAATCAGTTACTAGACCTTTCAGATACACATTCAATATCTTTGAAGTGCTTTGTCAACTGTAAAGCAAACATAACAGCTTCACTTATAGGATATTTTATATATTTCATTTATACGACTGAATATTTCTGGTCTGGAAATGGTGACAAAAATACCTACTCCCAGAGTTGCTTTAAGGGCTATAGGAAATGGTATATATACATTTATAGGCTGAAAACATGTTATTTGCTTCTCTATTTCACTTCCTTTCCCTCCTAATTATTCAAACATAATTTACCACTAACTGAAATGCAAAATGAGGAACATTTATACTGGATTTCCATGAGGGGAGAAGTAATGAAAAGGTTTCTTCAATGGAACTTACCTATGAGAAAATCCCATTGACCGACATCTGTGTAAGCATTACAGAGAAATTTTGTTGAATCCGAACAAAACAAAACCAAACCCATATTTTTCTGCATCTATACCATTCTATAACCTGTAACAAATATATGTAAAATTACAGTCCAGCTTAACTGCAGCAAATTTTTATGATACTCTTCTCTACATTCTTCTTCTAGTATATCTAAACCTTGCAGTTTTGAGAAATATATGAGAAGGAAAACAATACTTGATAAAACACCAGAAAGGAGTCATCGATGCTACCATGGAGAAATGTTTAATAATAAACCTATGATGAACATCCTAACATTCATGATGATTTCATTTCTCTCATTCTCTCTCTTTCTCATTTGTCTCAAATTTCTCAAAGACAGTACAAAATTTGGAACAATATATTCTCAAAAGTCTCCAGAAGATGGTGATAAAGGCATTACCAGATTGGATTTAGGCTTTCTTTCCACCAGTTAAAAAGATGTTGGTGACACGATTTTTTTTTCTTCTTCCTGAAAAACTCTGTTAAGGAAAATTCCAAAACAGAAGCAATCCCAAAATAATCCTTTTACTAAAAGTCAACAATCCAAAGGATCCGATGATCCAAACTATTTTCCAAATTTCTCCAAAGTCCAAAGACATGCCTGGAAAGTTTTAGTTTTCATCTCAAGAGCCAACATTGAACGCTTTTTCTTCTTACAATAAATATTTGCAATAGAGGTGATCAAAATAATATTTGGGTCCAAAAAAGTTTTTATCATGATTTCCAAAATCTTTTATTTGTTTTTTTTTTTCAAAATCTTTTAAATATTCCATTTCAGAGATTGACCATAATTAGGCATAATTATGTTTTGTGATGATGTCCTCTGGGAGAGTCTAGAAAACAGTTTTGACATAGTCATGTGACCTTATATAAATGACTGCTCCTTTCTCTGCCTGCTCTTCAACCGTAGAATGAGAGAATTATGACACCAGTCATTCTCAAAGGAGGTGATCTCCACCCCAATCCCAATCCTCCCTCTCTCTGAGGTATTTTTGGTTTAACAACTGGGGGGTGCTACTGACATCTAGTGGGTAGAGGCCAGGGATGCTCCTAGACATCCTACAGTGTGCAGAATAGCCCCCACAACAATGAATTATCCAGCACAAAATGTTAATCTTGCCTAGTGAGAAACTCTACATTAGAGGATCCATGAAGATGCTTTCAACTTTGAATTTTACAAAGTTAATAGCTATGTTATATGAGGTGGGATATACATTATATATTATATATATAATCTTGAATTTGCATTAAAGCCAAACTTCCAGCTTAAATAAATCTCAAGTTTGTCTTAAAGTTCTGAACAATAAGAAAGAAATGAAAGAACTCAGAAGCCAACTAGTTAAGCAATACGTGTTACCTGTCTACAGTAGACATATAGCATGTAGTCTGGAGAACATTTTAAGATGTATTTCCAAATGAAATAAAAAGCCAACCATTGTGGGTCACACCCAGAAGAAACTGGCCGGAGACCTGCTGGATGACCTGCATGGTCTATTAACAACTTTTTACTTCAAGCCAAAACCTGATTGAAGCCCATATACTTGGCTCAAACTAAAGCAAGACAGTCGTGAAGAGCTAGTTTTTTTTAGCAGAGAAGTTTACAATGATTTTCAAATAATTTATTCTTCAAAGGAATTGATGGCGAGTGGGTGGGCAGAGGTGGTAATGGCAGCAGTAGCCAAGACTTAGAATATGCTCAATTCACCCATTAAAATAGAGCAACAAGAGAGCCAAATTAAAAACTTAGCGGCGGGGGGGGGGGGGGGGGGGGCACGGGGGTGGCTCAGTTGGTTAAGCCTCCGACTTCGGCTCAGGTCATGATCTCCTAGTCAGTGAGTTGGAGCCAGCATTGGGCTCTGTGCTGACGGCTCAAAGCCTGGAGCCTGCTTCAGATTCTGTGTCTCCCTCTCTCTCTGCCCCTCCCCTGCTCACGCTTTGTCTCTCTCTGTCTCTCAAAAAAAACCAAACATTTAAAAAAAATTTTTAAACTTAGGACTACATTTACAACAAAACGAGGTGATATGAATCCAAAATGTAAGTGGGGACAAACAACCAACAGCCACAAATTCTGCCCACTGCCATTCCTGCAAGAAGTAGGAAAAAAAAAGAGGTCTGTGGTCTTGAGAACAGGAGAACCTCAAAAGAGTCAAGTGGTATTACTGAAAATCATGGAAGGCCAACTTGGGAGTCATGACTGATACCAACATGGTTTTGCTCAACCTAATAGCACATCTGTAAAAGTACCTTAAGGAACAACCGAAAAGGGCTGGAGCAGTTCAGCCGCTGTGCACACATGAAACTGGCCAGCCAGGGATCCCTTCCAGGACAGGGTCTCCTAATGAGGAGAAATTGCTGAGAGTGGAATCAAAATAAAGAAGGATGAGGACAATAGACACAAAGAAAGGAAATGGTCCAGATAAAAATGGATCCCAGGAAAATTGTCAAGAAATCTCAGAGATCAAGCTAGGATTGCTTTTAAAATCATGCGTTTTTAGCACTACATGAAAATAAGCAAACAGTAAAAAAGAGAAGAGGGACTTCTGT